ATTGCCATATTTTATTGACAACGTTCGTTACTGTCAGATCAAATCTGTCTATGACGTTCATATACGTTGTGACTAGTGACGGGTTTTTATGATGGTTTTTGCATAACTGAACCGCATTGTGTAGTGCTGTCCAGCATTTATTTTCGTATTACAATGCTGATGGTACTGCTGTTCCATTGATCTCTTTTAGCTTGATGTTTGTTTTCTGGTCGCTGTGCGCGTTGCTCGTTTATCCAAGGAAATAAAATCAGTTTGTTCGATTTCTCAACTCTCTGTCCATTCTCCCATTGTAACTTGGAATAAAGATGACTTTGAACTTTGAATGCTGCAGTTCTAGAATTAGATGGCCCTCGCAACTTTGACTCTAGGATTGCTTGCCTTCCTTCTCCCTGATGAAACATCTTGCCATGTTCATCCTCATGTTTGTACCGAGAAACCCGTTTTTTAAGAGCATCTATCCGTGTTTCAGCTCTCCCTTTCACCCCTTCTCTGCTTTCGCTGCGTATTGCTGTACTGTCTTCTTAGGTCATATGCCAGCTTCCTACCGATTTTAATTAGCGCATCTGTGATCACTGTCAGAAGCAACGTCCAGGGTTTATTTTTTTAATAATCTCACGCTTTGCTTTGCTATGGTATTAGTGGATCATTTGGTACACCTCTCAGAAGATTCAGAACTTTTCACCCTTATTCTGTAGACTAGTGATTTTAACAGCACAGACACCACGAGCCAGCCAAAATGCAACAAACCTGATAATAAATGAATCGCAAATCGCGGTCAGCGCAAATAGAATTTCCAGCGGCGTCGGGTAGTTTGCATTTCTGTGCTTAATACTAGTAAGTTGCGTCAGTCACCCACGGTCGTGACGTTTTAGTCTCAACGTCACTTACGAAGTGACGTGTAATTCTCTTACTTATCAATACTGTTATAGTTACCAGTATCATTTCTGTCGAATCCTTTATTTATAATCAGATTGTTTCCATTACATATAGCGGAATCTGACAGTTCAGGAGGATTTCATTTTTTATTTGCTTATTTGTTGCTACAAGTTTCACTTTTTCACATTTTTCATTCGCTCTCAGGTTGATTTCGAATCAATGCAGCAAGTGAAACCTCATAAACGGGAAATCCGGCGGAGCTTTCAGACTGGATTTTGGATGCAGTACAAATCTAGTCCTCACGACGTGCAGCTCCACATGAAGATAAACTACTTCCAAATCGACAACCAGCTCAGCGGATGCGTGTTTCCAACCGTTTTCTCGCCATTCCCGTTGCCGAAGTCTGTCGCATCGGAAAGCAGTAAGTTAGCTGTTCTGTTTTGTTCGGCTGTTTGTTTTCATGAAGTGATCCTTGATTAGTGCATTGCCTTTCCAGACCGTGATTTTATCATGTCCGTGTTTATATGTGCTTTTATACTGGTTGTATATTAATAAAACAATTTTTATTTGAAGTTGAGGGGCTTTCGAAACTTCAAAAAGTGTCCATTTTTGTTGTGCGACAATAGTAATTAAAGGCAATATTTTAACGTTTAGGTATCTTCCTAATCGTTAATATTGTACGTTAGGGAATCTTTGTAAATTAAAGACTTGTCCCCTCTGTGAATTGCTTCTGCTGTTGATTAATAGCCGCCCTTAGTCCACCATGTCATTTCATACAGGATATTCGTTGTATATTATTCTGGTATAGTGTGCATGGATATCATATTTATTGAATAAGATCCTGTTTTTTTTAGTTTTCCATGTTTTAAGTACGCTGCTTTTTTAGTTCCTAAGCCTTTCGTGGAAGTCAGCTTTATTATGCGTACCGGCGAGCACAGCACCATTCCTCACATTGAGTACGTTTTTCACGATTTCATTTCGTTTCAGTCATAATATGCGATTTGTTATTTGGTCGATGAAGTTGTTACCTGATGGTCAGAATGAACATCATAAGTTTGCACATTCAGCGGTCGTTTATTACTCTCGTTGAGTCTCGCATCATCCTGAGTTACATCTTTCTTCAGGTTGTGTCAAAAATCATGAAAATTGTTTTATCTGTAGCCAGTGACATGGTATATCAAGAAAAGCGAAATAAGCATCTGGGTAGAACAGTGTTACAGGGCAAAGCTTTAGTATGGACGTTTTCTCGGTTTCTTTGTTTCCGCTACAATATCAATAGGTGGTGGAAGCACGGATCATTTCTACCTTCTTTGTCTGAACGTTCGAATGACCGAAGTTGTTTATTGTTTCTGAGCTAGATCGATGATGCATTTTGTTATTGTTAAATAGATGAACAGGATTAGCCGCGATCTTGCACACGAAAGATGAGCTTTAGCGTAGTTTAACTGCTGTCGTCACTACACGATAGTCTCGAATCCACCAATCTTAAGAAACAATGGATTTCATGGCAATGAGGGATAAAATCTCCTCCCGCCAAATATTGGCTAGCACTGGAATGATGCAGGCCCATGCAATTTTCTGTCACAGGGAGGGAGCTGGTTCTCAAGGGGGCGCAGTCTTGCGAAGTGGTTATATATGATTCGTCGTATTTATTCCTATGGCTGCGATTTAATCTTGCCAGGTTAGTTGCTGTTGATCCGTAGGCTCATATAACTAACCACCGAATTGGCATTTTGTACAGCAGTACTAGTATACTAATTTTTTCCACACTGAATGACGCAATGTCTAGTTTTTTGCCCTTGTTAATCTTTTGTTATTTTAGTCACGCGAATAATGTTTATTTTTCTTCATTTGCAGATTCAGTCTCTTTATCTCTCTGGGTCTTATATTTGTGTCGTATCATGTCTCCATCCTCATTGGGATGGGTGATTGTGTGATAAATAGAGTTCACCATGTCATTTTCATCGATTAATGCGCTTATGCACCATTTCTAAAACGTCAGTGAAGAGTATTGTAATGCTCCAACTGATTAAATAATTTCAGTTGCTTCTGTGCATGGCAGATTCTAAAATTCTCTGCAAATGTTGTCCGTTTACGTAGCCCTTTAACCATCTAAGAAAAGTGGACTCTTTTATATACCTTGATACACTGTTTTGGTGAAAATATGCGCCTCTTTTGCATGTTATTAATCAGCTGTGAATGAAACCACTAAAGTTGTTTTTTATGTGAAAGCGATTGCATTTAAGTTGAGATCCGAAGAGTTGGTGATTGTATATTTAGCTAGATTTGGTCGTGGCTAGATGTTATCGCTGTGTTTGGTTTTAATTGATTAGCCGTATCTAACTGTCAGTGCGTCATTAGTCGACTGTTTCTGGATTCACTCGAATCTTTCATGTTTAAGTTGACCACGTAGAGAGAACACCTCCAGTTTTTATCCTGACATGCTTTTCTTTGCTTGGTTGGTAGCCTCATTTGTCGGGAGACATGAAGTTGTTTCAGTCTGAACAATAAGTCATTGGCAGCCATCCAGATTTAAAATATCAGCGGCTAATTCGACTGAACTTTGCTAATTTTGAACTAAGTTAGTAAATGAGCCAGTATTATAACGGTAGGTCGACTTCTTTTCGAATAATCTGTTAAACAGGCGATATGAGTATCATAAAAATGAGCAGTTTCAGGAAGCTTTGAGCAGTATGAATTCAATTGGGTTAGAACTGTTTTTCGATAGAGTTCATTATATACAGCAGAATCTGTTTAAATCGATCATCAGCGGTGCTGTACAAATCGTTTTGACGGTGGTCCCCTTAAACGATATGCACTGAAAATTGCATATCTCTCAATTAATAATAGCGACTGGTAAATCTTACGAATCTGTGTTTCTGTGCAGTTGTTTTGCAATAACTTTTCAGAAGCAGTATTTATTAAATGAATAGCCGACTTTTTAGTCATTCTGCAAATCTTGTTGAAGTGCGGCGATGTATAGACTAAGCTATGGCTTAATGGTCCTTTTCGGTAAACCTTCATGTTTACTTTAGGGTTTTATCATTTTATTACTACTTCGTACTGATTGTCTAGTCCTTAGAATTTGTTAGTGAATTTCGCGATACAGTGGTATTTATACTGCTACCCTCGCCAAGAGGGTGCATAAGTTGAGTTTTATTAGGCACCTGTGCATTTCTATTTTGTGTGCGAGTCAAATAATGAAATCTATCAGGCAATTAGTTTTTTTAACACGTGGTATTCCTGGCACTAAGGTCCGATCCGATAGTAGTGTCGAGGCAAGGTCAGATGCCACCGAACGCGCCGTAGCGGGACAATCCTTAGATATGAGGGTTAGCTGCGAAATTATCGTAGAACCCGATGAATAACCAGTCACTGATAACGTAACGACAGTGTTGCGACGGCGCGGTGGGCCAACTGGCAAAGTTGGCTAGAAAAAATACCGCATGGCAGTGACAGCGCGGTGACATGGCGAGTACATTCCGCTAACCCCAACGATCCATAGCCGTTTCCCAGCCTGGTTGAGAATGACAGGCTGGTGTCACACGGGCAGCCGGCTTTAAAAACCATTGGCAGCGCCAATTATGATGGATCAACCTCACGCTAGAAATAACTCTAGGGTGTTTCCCACAGGCGACGCGCGAAAGCAAATCCCGGCGGCTGTGAGAAATTAGCCATGGTACCGGTTATTGCGACGACGGCAACTGCGAAGGGAGAAATTGACATGCCGAAAACGAAGCAAGAAAATGCGAATAGCCACCTGAAGCTTTGAAACAATGACGGGAAGGGGCATGGTGCTAACGGAAGCTTTTCAGAGAATACGTTCAGATCGCTTGTATTCAGGAGACGAAATGGAAAGGTGAGAAGTCGAAAGGGAAGGATTGAGCTAGGCTATAGGCTTATTTACTGTGGAACATCAAACGGAGTAGGAGTAGTATTGAATGAAGCGACCAAAAGCAGGGTATTCGAAGTCAGCTGAATTAACGACATAGGCATGGGCGTTAAGCTTACTTTGGAAAGTAACACCTTGAATATTATAAGTGCGTACGCCCCTCGGACTGGTCAAGATTAAGTTGTAAATTCGACATTCTAGGAAAGCCTAGACATTGCGCTGTAAAATCGCGAAACGAAAAAGTGGTAATTGGGTGTGACCTTAACGGTCACCTCAGAAACATCGAAAGGGTTACAACAGGACTCATGGCACAGACGGGCATGATATGTTAAGTAAAGGAGCGAAGATCTTCCAGATGGCAGTTGCATACTATTTGGTGCTGATCAGCATGTTTTTCCAGCGAGATAAAATTGCCTGCTAACTTAAAAGGGTGGGCAGATGAAATGCCAGATAGACTGCTTCCTGCTTCGAAGGAATGAATTGAGGAACGTCAGAGATTGTAGGGTTACCCTCGGGGAAAACTGTCACAAACTGGCCCCGGCTACTAGTCCTAGACCTCTCTCTGAAACAGTCCATTCAAACGGTGGACACAACACAACCAGAAATCATGGTGGTGAGTCTCCAAGGGGAGCCTGAAGACGCATCCTAAATCGAATTTACGAGAAAAATGGCGAAGGAAAACTTCGATGCGAAAGATGACGAAGCTCTGGAGCGGATGGCTAGCATAATCGTAGGGAATGCCAGTGGTCTAGTCGGAGAAACAAAAGGCACAACATGTATCCAGAAAGAAACGTGGTGAAACGTGAACGTGCAGGCGACTCTGTGACATAAGAAAGAGTTGTTCTAAAAACGGCCGCTATCAAGCAGCGCATAGGCAGAATAAAACATGCCGTATCGAATAAGTAGACAACGAAAGCCGTTGTTTATTGTTAAAGTCTATTGTTTGTAATCGCTTGCGCAAAATACTGGCAACAGAGGAATGGGAGAAACACATCTGTCGCACAGCAAAAATGAAAGAATACAAAACAAGTGACGTCGACAAAGTGACGTGGTAAAATTCGAAGGGCAGTGGTTCTAACCAACGAGAAAAATATTAAACGCTACTATACGAAGAATGTCCAAAAGAGGTCGCGAAGGAGATCCCCGCGAAACCTTGGTCTAGTGGAAAAGATCTCAGCCGATGAAGTGGAACAAGCCTTGAGCCGACTGAGAAATAAAATGGCCCTTGGCCCGGACGGAGTTTCCACAGAAGCATGGAAAGCACTTGGGCAAGAAGTGTAATTTGGCTCTGCGCATTATTCAGTAAAATAATCGAACGTCAAAAACTGCCGGAATCATGAAGACAGAGTTTTGATACTAATGTACATAATGAAAGGAGACATGCTCGCCTATGAAAACTATTGGGGAATTAAACTGCTTAGTCATATCATAGCGCTATATGAGAGGGTGCTGGACAAAAGACTAAGAAGGAGGCCGACATCACCACGAACCAATTTAGCCTTTATGCTAGGCCGATCAACCACGGAAGCCATCTTCGTTTTGAGATCAGTCCTCGAAACATACAGAGAAAGCAGATAAGACATTCACATGGTGTTCCTAGATCTGGAAAAAGCTATTGACCGAATCTTGAGGCATGCAATCTGGTGGATCATGAAAAAGAAGTTGGTGCCAGAAAAATGCCAGGCTTACTAATGACATTTGCGGCGAAACGAAAGAGTTCCATGTGCGGGTAGGAATCCACCAAATATGTGCATTGAGCCCATTTCTGTTCTCAGTGGCGAAGGTGCCGTTTGCTGTGCAGCGAAAGCAGGGAAGCAGTAGAAATAAAATCCAAGCCAGGGAGAGTCCTTGGGAAGAACAGCCTTGACTCAGCTAAAGCAGTCATATTATTTAGCGTCTGTGTCAGTGGGAGAACAGATTGAATGTCGTTAAACCATTGAATGAAGTGGAGATTTTGCTGCCTCAAACCCAAGAATTCGACTGTCTTCGTTCTCTCCTGCAAGATAGTGCGGAAATCGACAGCGAGATAAGAAATCGGTCAAATAAGCTGGGATCAAATCGAGAGATGTTAGTAGAGTACTGTGACGAAGATCCCAATTAAACTAAAGAAGAATGTATGCAGAACGATAGTAAGACCGGTGCTTCTGTCTGGAGCGGAATGTTATGAACTACACTGAAGGACTGCAACTGAACTCGGTAGAAATGCGAATGCTCAGATGGATTTGTGGTGTCAGTAGAAAGGACCACATCCGAAACAGTCCATAAAAAGCACTCTAGGGATAGCACCAATTTCAGGAAAGCTTGTCGAAAGCAGGTTCCGCTGGTTAGGGCAGATGAAAAGAAAACCCATCGAGTACGTTTTAAATGTGGTCCAAGCACTGATGCTTTCGGGAAAGAAAAGAAGGGGAAGACCAAAGCAAAGGTGGCACGATTTCGTCAAGAACGGTATGAAACTGCCAGGAGTCTCTGAAGATCTGACGAACGACAAAAAAACGTGGAAGACGTTTGCTCGATAAGCAAACCCCTGTTAAAGGGAACTTGCTAGGAAAGGGATGATTCATTGAATTAATGGAATTTGTAAAAGTCGTTATCTGAGTCTTATTGAATCTTTCGCGTTCACAGTGGTTACTTTAGGCCTCTAGACTATTGTTTTTCCGCCATGATTTCATGTACCACTCTTTTTGAACCAAGATATGCCTGTCACCTTGAACAGAGCTCACTCACGCCAACCTGTCATAGTTCTGGGGTCAGCAGTGAATGTTGCTGCTAGTGACGGGCGGATGTTAAATCAGCAGCTTCCTTGTATTCAGCCGCTGCACGATGCTGATCACATTACTTATGGAATACAAAAGACAGGATTATGAAAGCATTGACGCTTTGACCCGCGCAAGGTCTCACCAGGTTCCCGCTTCGGTGTAATGTAAGACCTTCATTTTACCATAGTCGCTGAGTTGATCACACTTTCCCTTTCGACCGGCATTTGTGTAGTGCCGCCACGTGTTATTTCCTGCTGTACCTCCAGATTTCTGCTGCAGAATTCAACCAGGGAATGGCATATGTATAAGACGTCATTGCCCGTTCAGACTCATATGGATGCGTATGCAAAGGTTTCGATTAGGTGCTTTTATCATATCTCTAAATTATTTTCTTACCGTGCTCACACAGTGTCGCTCTGTCATCCTCCATTTCTCCGTTTTTCGTTGCACCCAACGTAAAAGCTGCCTTTCTCCGTTTAGAGGTAGACGGCCCCATGCATCGTTCTTCAGCGATTAATGTGGATCGTGAATCTTAGTACTTTCATTCAGGTTTTTAGTCAGAATGTCCTTCTTTTAAGCAGAATGTCCTTCTCTTAAGCAGAACTGCTTCAACTGAAATAAGTGGCACTCTCAACTGCGGTTACCACTGCATCATTAGTCGACGTACATTGGTCTCTGTGCCTGAGCCACGGCTGCAGGATTATGCAAAGAAGAAGAATGAAAGGCTCACAGTATGTCAGTACTTCATATATTTGAAGTTAAAGTAGCTGTATAGGTTTCGGCTGAGATGTTCGCTTTTAAGTTTTGGTGTTGTGGTCTGCGCTGGTTTAGGCTTACATTTACAATTTTTAGGTATTTCAAGGTCCTTGTTCAGGAAATGGCTTTAAAAGCAGATCAGGGGTTTGTCAACGCAATGTTGTCGTTCCTAATGCCGGAAAATCAGTCGGAATTCGCAGAGGTATGCGACAATCGTTGTGAAACAATGCTTTCGTTCACCCGTAGTTTTGTTTATAGTCCAAAGGTCTTGAACAGGACATGCTTGTGGTTAATCAGGATGTTAAAGCAGTCGCTCTCATAAGTTCTTCTACCGGACAGAAGTCGTTTTACAACATTTTGCATTTCTCTCCCATTAAGGTACACAATTTTGTTCTTTTAAACTGTGATTTTGTTAAGATGAAGTAATATTTTGCTTATGGACACACAGGTTGCACAAGATGCCTAACCTGGACAAGATCTAGCAGTTCTAATCAGCGAAAATAACAGATTTATATCGTCGTGGTGACGTATCTTTGCAATAATCCATTTCAGCAAGATGTTAGGCTTTTCTTGTGTGATCATATGCTCTTTTCCTCATTTTTCACCTTCATAAGTTTCTTTTTACGGCCCTCTGGTTATATAATTCTATGATCCCTTAATGCTGTTTATCTTTCAGAGTACTCGAGAAATCTGTCTATATGCCAGTATGTCGCTTGAACTATCATTAGCTGCCAGCACAACTGTTTCAAAAATGCTTGCAGAAGTTGCAGGCTAATTGACGCCTAACTCGGATCCGTTCAGCACAAATTGAGTACTCCGATGTTCAGATTCATACTTTTGTGTTTAATCGGTAGCAAATGTTGAATGCCAGCTCTTGAAATGTCGTGCTAGATCAGAGGATGGTACAGCGAGCAAAATGATACGAAATGCATTGCGTCTAGCACTGCAGGTGCGCAAAGACAGTGGAGCCTCCCCTGTTTAAATGATTCCTGTAGGCAGGGAAAGTAAGGAGCGATATGGTACAGTACATGAAATCTAGTCTTGGAGAAATTGCCAAGTAACGTTCGAACCCATATACGAATTTTAACATGATTGCATATTATAAGTGGTGTAAGGGTGAGATAACCAAATTTTCAGTCTACACCTCACAGAGGTTGCTGGGGGAACGAGTTAGTTGTGTTGGTCGTTATTAGCTTCAACATGTCGTTGAGTCAGCAGGTAGGTGGGATTAATCGTTATGAACCATCATAATATTGCGTTCTTGTAAATGAAACCTTTTGGTGTGTTTTTCAAATGATACACGCACCAAACAGTTCGGTTTGTTTATGCAAGCATGATGGTAAACCCCATACTCTTGTAGAATACTGCTGACACGAGGAACAAATTTACGCCAACTACTGGCTTTATGCGATAAAAGGATGTGAATAATGTAGTGATTCGAAGTTTTTTCGTTTTCGTTAATAGTCCCGTTAGCTTCTTTTTTCGTCAGGTTAATTCCATCATTTTCTGTTCTCGTTGTAGACGACATGGTGTAAAGATATCGCTACACTTTTGTTAGAAAATAACACCGACCGTAGTTCCCGATCCTTCCGTATGAGTTTCTTATCCGTAGAAAATCTGTTGCCACCTAGCTGTTGTTTCTTCCTTGGTCGATTGTTTTGACCTTCATGAGTAGTTACCAGTTTATTGTTGCATTAGATAAAACATACGCGGCAGTACTTCATCTTTTTATTTAGTTTGATAGTTGTCTTCTGCATTGCATATTTACTCGGCATGGTTTTCTTGAAAGTACGTGCTTATGTAAACGGTTTAGATACTTTTCTCTCTCCCCAGTAAAAGGATCACTTGCCATACTCCAATTTTCTATTCTGATAGGTAATTAAGTCGATTGCGCTACTCAGCGTTCGACTAGAGAGTGAATATTCAAAGTTAGCTTCGATTGACCACTGTGAAATTCGAGTTTGAACAATTTTTTGAACAAAGAAATTAATCGTAAATTTGTTCTAAACCGGTGACCAGTTGTTGTCCGTAGGCTGTTAAAGCGGTCATTCATAGTCAAAAACTGTGTTGCTATATACTGAACAAAGTACATAAAATGGGGAGTAGTTCAGCAGTAGTAGCAGTTCACTGTCTTTATGTGATGTATTGAAATGCACTGAACTGTTTTGTACTGTGCTGTATTTTTTGCTTATACTAATGAATATGCTTGCGAATATGCTTTTTAGGTAAGGAGATTCGTCAGTAAGCTAGGGATTGGAGTTAAATGTTTTAGTGTTAGTCACCACTACTGATTAGGTATATTGATTAAAAGAGTTGAATCACATGTACAAATTCTTCCGGATATTAGCTTTCTCAATGGGTTTCTAATTCGAAGAAACCCAGAAAGGCTGGAAAGTGCAGCTTGAAGCACCTTTGTTTGCTCGCCGTTTAGACGTTTTACCACTTAAGTGATTCAGGTACGTGGTGCTGATTTCACTCGGATGTAACGCTCTTTTCTGTTTGTCAGCCAAAGCGAAAATGTGGTTAAATGAACTTTTGAATTGTCAAGCCTTTATATTCGTTTGGAGGAGCTAGCTGTTTCGCTGAAAAGCCGGGATCACTCGAAAAATTTTTGGATCTGCCGGGATTGCAACCTGAAATAAACAGACAGCTCCTATGGCCGACAGAATGGCTGTGTTTATTCTTCACAGCAGTATATTCATTGCATTACGTTAACATTCAACCTTCAGGCAAACGGGTGAAATATCGACTACCTTCATATAGATAGGACAGCGTAGCGTCACGATATGGTGGTGCGAATTCTACTTACCAGAAGATCACGTAGTTGGACTTGATTCATTTAGGTGGCTTCAGCACGCCTTGACACAGTAATAGCTTACGTTTCTTCAAAACAAGTAGGCCTTTGAAGAAGTCTGTAATTAAATTTTGTCATTTAACTTTAAATGACATTATGCTTTGCCGTAACCTAAAAACGAATGAATGGTGCTGGTTTCCTGTCTTTTTCTCATCATTGCTGTCAGTGTCCCATTTTCAATTTTCAGCTTCACCTAAGCTATTCGCAAGGTGGCGCCTCAACCGAAATAAATCAGCCGATTCCGGCTTTCAGCTCTGAGTTTTTTGGGCTGCTTCTGAAAAGTGTCGGTGTCACGGTGACAGAAATTCAGGACGTGGTCTTCAAGTACTTATCTTCTGTGAATATTTACTTATAGGCTTTTCGCTGTAACAAATTCTTAGGCTGGCATACTTCGAAAAGGAAGCGGTTTTCTTGAGTCAGAGCCAGCTGATAAGTGAAGTGGTGAATCATTACGTCAAGCAGGCTGTGAAACAAATATACGTGCTCGTACTTGGTCTCGACATCATTGGCAACCCGTTCGGTTTGATTCGTGATCTTTCTTCTGGTGTCGAGACGCTGTTTTACGAGCCCATTCAGGTAAGTGATTTCCAGTAGTTGTAATGTTTATTTGTTCATTTATTTTCCATTTAACACTCATTCGCTAATTCCCGTCTACCACAGAACGACAAATATTACCTGTCTCAGGAGTGAAGGCGATTATTAATCGTTCACTTAACTTGTTTCGGTACGCTACATGAGGAGATGACATTATGAGCATTTAATTCTTCATGTCGCAGGACATACATTGCAAATAAATCACATCTTCACCAGGGAGCGCAGTTCCAATAGTTAGCGGTCCATTAGACTCTAAACTGCAAAACGTCTTTAGATCTTCATGCGCAGACAGTATACATTCAGTTAAATCTTCATCTTCATCTTCTATCGCCGCTTCTCCTTTCGGGTCGCGGATTCAGTTAAATCTAATACTCTTTTATGGAAACAGACACAAACTTCAAAACATTAGGAAATCGCTAGATTATACGCGATATATGGAGGTCACGTTTTAGAATTGTGCTAGAATGTTGGGAGTTTTCTGGATATAGGAAAATCAGTACACTGTATTGAAAATAACTACATTCAAAAAGATGCAGAAGGGTCGCTTGAATTTTTCGCATGCTATGCAAACGGGTTTTGCAAATATGACTTTGTGTTCGCTACTGTTCAGAAATTTGCTGTAGTGCTTAAAATAACAATCGCCTAACCGTTATAAACTTCAGTACGAAATGGATGAAACTGCTAGTTACCCTGTCTCTCAGTGCAATAGAAACATGGCATATTGAAGTAGTCGTTCAGAACCTTATGCTCACTGTTAAAACATCGTAGATTCGAATTTCGGTCAGGTGACTCGCCTTTCATCTTACCACTGTACATCATTAAGTGTCATTTCGTGAAAAGGATGCATGATATACATGGTGTGATGGTCGTAGAAGTGTTGATACAGAGGCAGCAGTGGGGTTCTCCTAGCTGTGATTACACATTAGCAGAGATTAGCACAGCGCCACAAATGCTATCGCGCTCAGTCATGGATGTGTAAGAAAGACCGACATGTTCGTGGTTACCAACTTTCCTTTTCCCTTTTTTCATAAGCATGTCCCCAGTGACGATTTGTTTAAACGTTTTGAACAAGAAAATAAGTTATTTCTTGTAACTTATGACTTTCCCATAAGTCCTTGAGGCCTGGTTTTGTTGGAATTAACCGTTTATCTCCTTAAACTTAAAAATTAGTATTAATTATTGGGTAGAGAAAATATTCTGCCGAAGTTAGCATAGAAATGTGATTCACTGCGATTGTTTGATCCTTTTGCATCTTAAGTATGCTTTGTATTTGTGACTATTTTTATTTAGTTTACTGCTTAAAAACTTTTGCCTTTAGGGAGCAATTCAGGGCCCTGAAGAATTCGTAGAAGGTTTAGCTCTTGGCGTGCGTAGTTTGTTTGGACATACCGTCGGTATATTGTATATTTTGCTTATTCCTTGCTTCAGTTCTGAAACGTGCTTGATTCAGGAGGCGCTGCGGGCGCTGTTTCAAGAATTACGGGGACCTTGGGCAAGGGTATCGCTGCGCTCACAATGGATGATGAATATCAGAAGAAGAGACAGGAAATGATGAATCGCCGTCAGGGAGACTTCGCCTCTGGAATAGTACAAGGTGGCCGAGGTCTGGTTATGGTATCGCTTTCGGTTGTTCCGTTTCGTTTCATTAGTTCATTTACTTGTTTTGAGGGAGTGGTTGAAGGAGTCACTGGAGTATTTACTAAGCCAGTCGAAGGCGCAAGGGAGGAAGGCGTCATAGGCTTCATGAAGGGACTGGGCAAAGGCCTGATCGGTGCGGTAGCCCGACCGGTTTCGGGGGCAGTGGACTTCGCTAGTTCTTCGTTCGAAGCTGTTCGAAAGTATGTTCATCATTTGATCATCAAGCTTATCTTTCACGCGATTGTCTTTTTTTAGAGTAGCCGATGTCTCTGCTGAAGTGAAGCACATTAGGCCGTCTCGTTTCATTCTTCCTGATAAAATCGTTCGACCGTACCTGCGTGCTGAAGCGGAAGGAAATACGATGCTTCGAGTGCGTAAGCTCGGCGCATTGTTGTTGATTGTCTCCTCAAATTACACTGTAGGAATTGGAAAAGGGAAAGTTCATGCATACCGATATCTATGTAGCTGACGCTTCTCTAGCGAAGGACAATAGCAGTTATTTTTTTGTCACTGACAGGTGAGTGCTGCGCACGTCCACGCGTGTGTATTTACTTATTTTGTGTCTGCACGTCTCAGGCTAAAACGGACTGTTATTGCTTGTAGGCGCATTTTGTTCGCCTCCAAGAACGATATTATGAGCAGCTATTCTGTCGAATGGGAGCACGTCTACTCGGACTTTAACCCCCCGACTCAGGATAAGAACGACCTCGTTGTCATGCTCAAGGTAATTTCTCATTTGTTTCTCTTGTTTCACTCGCATATGAGTTAGAGAAAATTAACTTTGAGGAAAAGAAGAAGAAACAAGTTTTTGGTAAAAGTATCAGCGGCCGCAGAATTACGTTTCTAAACGAAGAATCCGCCAGGGTATGATTTACGAATTAGCCAATAAAACGTGCTTAAGTCACGCAGCAATAATTAGATATTCGCGCCTTATAAATTCAAATATACTTCAAAGTAATTATTTTAATGTGGTACAGAATTCTTGTATGTTGAAGTTTAAGTCGATACTTTTCTTATTCCCTGTGGGGAAACTTCGTTAATGCACTTTATTGTTCGCATTAATGTCAGTAATTGAGTCATACTTTGCTAAGTTTCTGACTGTCAAACAGCGTTCGAGGCTCATTTTGCTAAGAGAAATTAAAACAGCTCTTTTGCTCGATTCCTTAAGCGTGCTAAGCTCTTTTAATTTATAGCTGATTCTCTCGCGGCTGCTAGAAGCGTATGGAAAAAGTCAGCTATGAAGGAACCACTCTTCGAAACGTACACTTGGCTTTTGTTTTATTTATCCGTTTTGCGTATAGATCCTCAGCATTCTATCACAGAAATGGCAACGAAGTGATTTTGAGAAGCGATGACTCCCGCTGTAGAAAGGCTTTTGCGACCGTCAAGTAGTGAAATGTTTATCTGATGTAAATATGCCACTGTCATCGCCGCGCGTATTTTATGCGCTTGATCATAATGTACGCTTGAATTATTAATAGTCGATTAAATATTAAACCATGCGGTCGATTAACTGTTAAACTATGACGTGCTGATCGTGCACGAATCGCTGAATGTTTGGAAATCAATTTGATCCGTGATTTATTGGTCTCATTCAGCAACGCCTGCATATCAAGGCGCGTGACAACGTTGAATAGTACAGCTGTTCTTGGATGTTATTTAGTTGTTGAGATCACTATCTTGAGCCGTTTCCATAAGCATAACGTCTCTGGTTTGTATTGACAGATTTGCAACACTTCTGCCTCTGTAAGGCACGGATTACTGTTTCGTAGAAGAAAACATCCCTTACAAAAGCAGATCTGCCCTTAACTTGTTCCTTCATATTGCCTACTGGTCTCCCGGTCTACGTCTGCCATGTTCCGGCTCTCACACGAGAAGTTCATGGGCGTAGTAAATGATATACGCTCAACTAGTTTGCCTAATGGGGCTAATCTCATTGTTTTCATCTTCACATCTAGCAGAATAGTCACTGCTTACTTTGGTCCGGTCATTTATCCCTCGGTTCAGTCGTCGTTCTTGTTCCTTCGTTACAACGACTTTTCATGTCGTGCAACCGCGCTGACTTGACAGATGAAAAGTACAGGCGAATTTTTATGGAGGTGCTCCTTTCTCAGCCCAAGTATTGGACAGGTTTCCCAAAGCACTCGAGGCCAGGCTAATTCTCCTGTTTAACTCTGCTGGATGGTACCGTCGCTGAAGGTGACAGAGACTGCGATACTTGAGTGTGGAATGTTTATGAGGTTAGATCTTGTAGAGGTGATGAAGTGTACTGGCAGTTTTATGAGGTGCAGCTATTAACTTAACTGTTAATAGTTAAAATAACTATTGACTTGTTTAACTCATCATAATTTTAATGATGAGTAAAATTAATCACATGTACCACAAAGTCTGACTACGTGGTTAAATGGCGAATAGACTCCTCCATTATGTAGGCGTACTGTCAAATCCCAGCAGCAATATTTTGTCTCAGGTATAATTCAGCGATCGCCCGCAAGTCTGCGCCATCTTGACCACGTAACCAAACTGCCCCAGTGTTATTTTAATCTGGCAAAAGAGCTGCACAGAATGTCAAACTTGAAGACTATTTCACGTAGCTGTTCAGCGTTTTCTTCATCACTCAACGACAAATAAATTCCAGCAGTGCTACGTTCGTTCGACAGATTGATTGTATCTGCTTTCACAGTCTGTTTGCCTTCATTTCCCAACGGTACCCCGTTGTGTTTAAAACCTTTCGCTTGCCTCAGCTACGTTCGTTTAACCTGAAGACTTACTGCGCAGCTTGTCTCGATGCAGTAGCCTAGGTAGCGGTCTTACCAGTCTTATTGATGCACTTGACGTGGCAGATAACGGGAAAGAGAATGGTTTGCTATAAAATCTCTTCATCTACAACTAGACCAATGATATAAGCCTATTTCAGGTGGCAGAATGTACTTATGTCGTCATAAGGACTCTCGGACAGCATTAGTCTGACCTTATCAAAAATAACGTTGCCTTAAAAGCTTGGCCCGTTGCACAGTCGCTGAATGACAGGCACATACAATAATTAATTTGATTTATTCATCGGGAGTCGATGAAAGACCGCTTCAGCAGTCAAATAAGATACCTTTACTTATGATATTGGCACGAAACAATAATTTAACTTCCCATGCTGGGACAGTATAAACCAGAAGTAGGCTTAGACCGTAGAACACGTATAAACGATACTTTCTACGGCGCGGACTGCAACTTTATAACGAAGCGAGGTCACTTTTTATGACCTGCAATAGTTTTTCAGTCTTACAGAGTATAGAAACTCGACTTTACGAAAGGCACTCGCTACTGCGTCAATGATACCATGGTACGACCTACATACAGGTCAAACTTGGCAATCGCTGCACATCAGGTACCTAGCAGTCACCTTGTTTTCTGACTTCTCTTCGCAGTAGCATGTCAAGTTGCCATGTATTCATCTAGACCAAAAGACTGAGAGGATTGCCTGCTCCAGGAGAAACCTTTAAGACTGATGTCTTCGCGTGCATCCTTCCCCAGCGTTGATATGCAGTTGTTGTTGTATTTCCTGGACTTCAAGCGTGCGACTTTAAAGCACTGAGGCGATCTTCAAAGCCAGCTTCTATGCATAGCGGCCTTCCATACTGGGACGTACAGCAACATCTCGCTGAATCATCAGTTGCTTACGCCGTTCGACTGGTTGATAAAATTCTTTACAACTCTGCCCACTATTTTCACACAGCATCTGCTCAATACCTGCCCCGCAGCACATCCATCAGATCTCAGACGGGGCTATACCGAAGATCTATCTTACTAGCGTCTGCGTTCACCTTGAATTAGCATTACTTG